GCTTATGCTATGACATGCTATCTCCTGCCGGAGGGGGTTATTGATGACGTCAAGTCATAAGCTAGATCCTATTGGTGGTCCGGGAAACAAAATTCCAGAGGTTGGGCGATGGTTGCATGGGATAAGATTTGTCAATCCAAAAAATTTAGAGGAATGGGGTTCAAGGATCTTAGATTGTTTAAAATTGCGCTTCTTGGGAATCAGATTTGGAGACTTATTCAAGATGAACATTTTCTGGCTTTCAAGGTTCTTAAAGCGAAATACTTCCCGTGCTCTTCATTTTTTGAGGCAAAACTTGGGGCTAAAAATTCTTATGCTTGGGCAAGACTTATGAAGGCCAAAGAAGCTCTCAAGGATGGTTTTTTTCTGGAGAGTGGGTATGGATAGCAAGGCTCGTATGTTTGAGGACAATTGGGGGGACACTAGTCCTATTCGATGGTATGAGAGATACATGGATCATGCAGAACAATCGGTTAGAGTTGCGGATTTTATGATTCCAATGTGTGCTAGGTGGGATGAGCCTAAGGTGGTCGGAGTGCTTCTGTCGGAGGATGCCTCGCAAGTTCTTAAAACGTTGATAGCTTCGATCTGGGGGGACAGATTGTTATGGGGTCATCATAGTTCGAGGTTTTATTCGGCTAAGTCGGGCTATAACTGGTTGAAAATTAAAAATAGCTCGGTTATGGTTGCGGATGGTATTTAGAATGATGTAGCTAAAGCGAAGGTTCTCCCAAAAATCAGAATTTTTGGTTGGCGTATTTTTCATGAAGCTATTCCCATGGGATCTAAAATTAAACAAGCAAATCTTGTAGATGGTATCTGCCCTCTTTGTCTTTGCGAGCTGGAATCGATTATGCACGCGATTAAAGATTGCCCTAAAGTTAAGACGGTTCTTTTGATGTCGAGTCTTTCCCCCGAGATTGTTGACTGGAGGGGAAACTCTTCTATCATGTGGTTGTCATATGTTCAGTCAAAGTTGAATGGTGAAGGTTTCGATTTGTTTCTCGTCTTGCTTTGGAATCTTTGTAACAGGCGCAATTATTTTGTTCATAATGGGGATCTTCAATCGGATAGGGACATTATTATCAACTCTTCGAATTTGATTGGGGAGTACAGAATTGATTCGAATTATTTTGGGAGTATAAGTGACAAAGTGGTTTTTCGTCGATCGCGTTGTTGGATTAAGCCGGCTCAGGATGAGGTTAAAATTAATGTTGATGTGGCTTATTGCAAGAATTCTCGAGTTGCGGTTGTGGGTATAGTGGCTCGGGATTCACATCGAATGGTTATTGGGGGATTGACTAAGAAGATTGATCATCCGTTCTCGGTTGAGTCCACAGAAGCAGTTGCTTTTACTGAGGGCATCCTATTGGCTTCAGAGAACGGTTGGAACAATGTAATTATCGAAGGCGATGCCATTTCGATTGTTTACAGATTGTCTAATCAGGTTACTAAAAATTTACAGGATATTTCTACAATTGGATTGCTGCTCAATGAGGCTAGACAGATTTTAGCTAACCTTCATTTTGTTAAAGTGCACTATGTGTGTAGGGAAGCTAACCGAGTCGCCCATTCACTAGCTCAATGGGCCTTATCGAACAACAATCCAGTTTGTTTTTTTAGATGAACCTGATTGTAGTAAGCAAGTTGTAATTGATGATGCTATTGGAATATAAGCTTTTATTCCTTTAAAAAAAAGAAGTTGGTCTTACAGATACCACAAGATATCATTTATTTGCTAAGAACTCTAAGCATTTCATTGGCCAATATCAAATGGAATATCTTGGCCACATTATATCTTATATTAGGGTATGAAGCAATGACCTTTGCCCAAAAACTTAAAATCACTTAGAGGATTTTTAGGTTTAACCCAAATAAAAAATATATCCATTAAATTTAAATTAATCCAACTAATATATATATATATATATTCGATTAATTCAATCACCGATGTCCTGACATCTTGCCAAGAAATCCAAGGTTTCTTGACGATCATTACTCCAACATGAACATCATTTTGGTTGATATATATATATTGTAAGTTACTTCTCCTTTAACCTATGCTTGATTCACCCAAGGATTCAAATAGTGCTCGGATAGTGGAATAACAATCGCTATATCGCGAAAAATAACGGTGTGAAGGAAAGTCACGCCAATAACGATGGACCACGACCGTAATTTAATGGATAGCAACCAATCGTACCAATAGCGGGCATAGATAAGTAGACATAAACTTAGATAAGTAGTCTGAATTGACCCTGAATAGAAAAGTACTCAAGAAGTCATGCCTAAATCGATGAATTTCTAGTTTCATCGTTAAGTTACACGTTTATACAACAAATTCCTGATAATCCGTAAATCTCCAAGTTATGAGTAAATACCTGAAGAATAATTTATCGATGATGCTCTTTTGATAGAATTGTTCGAAAGGGCTGAAATAAATGATAAGTTTGAATTTGATAATAAGATTGAACGGAAAAAAATGATTGTAATACACTGGATCTATAAAATGACCAAAATACCGTAGAATGGAAATGACCAAGAATATCACCAAACTCAGAAATGATTGGATATCCTCGAGCTCTGAAATTAATGAAATAAAACTGAGCACCAAAATGACCAAAATACCCTTATGGCCTAGACTAAGTAGATGTTTTGGATTAATTAAGGAATCCAAATAAGCATAGGTGTTGTACTACCCTTAAAAGTTATGGAACATATATTAAACCGGGCAACCAACGCTAAGGCTATATCAGTACCTGAATGGCATAGATGCCACTTGAATGCTTGTTCGTCTCCTTAAGTTTGTATCGATGATAATTTTGGAAGTATTCAGCTCAGCTCAACTCTAGATTGCATTCAGTACTAAGAATTTGATATTTTTTCGACAAATCAACCACGAAGACCAAACTGAACTGAACGAAAGTACAATATGTATATGAAATTCAGAAAACGTCCAAATTACTCTGGAAAACTCTGAAGTAACCGGGATATACTTGATTGTTAAATGAAATAAGTAACCTCAATGACTGAGGATTAAATAAGTGATTTGGATGAGTCTGGAAACGTTAATGAACTTACATGATGTAATGTTCTTATGGGTCATGAACTTCAAATCAAGTACGTCAGCATTTCATGATATCGTTGAAGCGTGGAAATGAAATAAAGACCCTTGGAAAACCCATTCAGCGATGACTCGAAAGATGATTTATGGACATTAATTATATTTATTAAAGAGTGAGTCCCTGAAGAACAAAGAATAAATCATTCAACATGCATTAGTTATGAGAGTTGTTCAGCTTGAGTTATTTCGATAATCCGATAAATCGACACAAACTGTAAATGTCTTAAACCTTCATTTCTTCCTTATCAGCTCAAGTCTCATTCTGAATAATTGATAATTTCTTCAGTTATTGAACTCTTCCAATAGTGATTCTAAATTCCGACATTCTATCTGTATACTGAAGATCCATGTTTCTCTGCCTGCTAAGATTATCCAGTATCTATGAATAATATATGTAAACTCTGGATTCTGCTAAGATCCATGATTTTTGACCTGGATTCTGATATGATACTTGACCTGAATAATGTTTTGATTTTTGATATATCCGTTTACGGACGGAACATGTTTTATTTGGGGGTATTGTTGGAGGAAGAATACTTTGAGGCTCCTCGGCTTTGTGCTCAGTGCCTTACTGGATGTGACGGGGTTGTATGGTTCTGTTGAACCTACACGTTTTGGACATGTTCGGTTGGGGGAATTAATATGGTTTTTAAATTTTAAAAATATATTTTAAAAAGATCTGTATCATTTCACTGGTTTTATGGGAACACACTAGATAACCTATTATGATCTCCTGAACTCAGTCATCCGAAATATTTCTCTGAACTGAAAGCTCACTGTATGTTACTACTTGAAATATCAGTAGGATTTCCGCTCAACATAAAGATCTATAGATGTCTGAACCGATAAGGAAATATAAGTTTATATGTATTTGCACGTTCTTCAGCATCATCTGGTAGTTCTGTATTAATGAGCTTTCCGAAGCTCACTCTATTACTCACCATTGCAGGTTAAAAGAATTGTACTAGTGTAGCTATCGACATCAATAAGGGAGTTCCTAAGGCGTTGCTTGCAGAGTATGGTACATGTGATTAGGGGACATGTAATTGTATTTTGTTTTATATACGAGTCTGAAAATCTGTTTTGTTTCTGAATGCTGATAAAGCAATTATAAGTTACATGTTTTAATAAAAGTTTTAAATTTTCCGCTATTTTACATTGAGTCGCTCCAGTGGCCCTAATGTGACACTCCAGATCGGATCAGGTTATCTGCATCGGTCTGAGGGGGTTACAGAGGGACTCAACAAAACAACGCCTTATAGTCGAAGGACTATTTTTAACTTTTAATAGTTGGAGAACTTAACAAAACAATATGCTATAGTTAAGGACTATTTGTCTATTTTACCCTAAAAAATGTATGTGTGTTTCAAAAATGAAATATTATTACGTAAATAATTGAAATGTAATATTTTTCAAAATTAATTATCAAATAATGGTTATTTTATAGTTAAGCAATTTTTACACTTTATTATGTATAATCAATCATTTTAATAGGTTAATAAATTATTAATAAATCATATGTATCGTATCCATCAATTAAATTATTCTATTGCATGTTCTATTATATGTAATGATTTTAATTTAAAATTTTGGTCAATCAATTATTTAAATATATGAATTCATTTTAATGATTGGTATTGTCGATAATATCCCCCGGCTCTTGGTGGGGATTATTGTACTGGAAACCACGATTCAGAAGAAAAAGAAAGAAATTTAGAAATCCTCCAAGGCCTGTTAATATAACCTGTAAAAATAGGGCAGTGGCAGTTGTCCAAGCATTTTAGATCGTTGGGGGGCGCTATAGAATGTTACTGAAATTTCTTATGCATCATCTCCTTTGACAATGCTTAACTTTCAATTTCACAATCCAGAAGAGGTCATGGAAAATGAAGGATATCTGTAAACAGAACCTCATTTACACCATCCAATTCAAAGTGATTACACCTTCAGACAGTCGAAGACTTCCTAAGAATATAGGCTATCAAGCTCAAAGTTTCGATTTCTCGATTTGAACAAACCAAGTATATGAATCGATATATACTGTTGCTAAACATGTTTCAGAACCGCATTGGCAGATTGATGAGCGAAATACTTTTGCCTCAGTTGAACATAAGGGTAACCTATAAATGATAGAAAGTGAGCAGGCTTTGAGAAGGAAAGTACTTCATACCACACTTGATCGTTCTCATCCAGCTCGATCGAGAAACGTTCTTCCCCAGCCTGATTTCCACCAAAATTTCCAAACCATGTTATCATCAATCAGGCTAGTAATATGCAGCAATAAGCATCAACAGAACTGATTGTATTCACCAAACTTTTAAAGGCACAGGAAACAATTCATACAGATAACCAGCCATTGCGAACTCTAAAAGAAAACAATAACTTCACCAAACCAAAAACTCAAAGAGTCATTACAACTCAGAAGAATGAGGTACTAAGTAGTAAGTACTAACCAATAGGTGACCTTGTAATGTGCCACTGCCAAAACCAAAGGAGGCAGCGGCTTTCTTAGTCTTAGTCCTTGTGTTTTCCTTTACATACACCACTTGGAGAGGCATCATGACCCATGGCAGAAATTCCTTGAGACAAACACAGAATTTCTCCCCACTTTGAATAGGAGTCTTGGGATCAACAAATGCCCAATCTAATCCAAAATGCCTACAAACAATACCAAAATTTATATGGCTACGATATACCTCTGTTGCAGTTATCTCCATATACCAAAAACAACATGCAAAAACCACAAACCTCCAGTTCTGCAGTGCTGTCTTGCCCTTTTCATAGGTCTCAAAACCAGAACCAACAAAAACCCTTGCATGGTTGATTAAATAACCATCTTTGGAGAGCTCCTTGTCTTCCTTAATGCAGGAAACCGGCTTTGCAGTAGCTGCTTTGTATTTGGCGTCATAGTTGAATGTGCCAGACCTGGTGATGACATACACATCAAAAAGGGCAAATTCCCCACGAGAAACAAAGAGAGTATACCTAGTTTGACTTTAGAAATCAACTAGTAATATGATTTAGTACTTGTTAATGCAAGACTTCTGTTGTTCAGGAGAAGGTCGAACCCAGCTCAAGAAAACCATTTCTGTCAAAAACCATGAATAATCCTCAATCACCCAAAAATTCAATTAATAAAGCTTTTTCCCCCAAAAAAAATGAACTTTAATCAGGAAATGATTAAGCTTGCAGTTAATAAACCAGAAAAGGAAGTTTGCCTGATATCCAAACAACGAAATTGCCAAATTGGACGATAACAGTGAACTGTTGCACGATATTATCACCCGGGAGTCTTAAACCGAGCTAGAAGTAAGGTGAAAGGTTGAAAATGGCCAATGTGCCCATTTCATCGTAGACCCAACTCTGTTATAAATGTAGCTGAACTGGGCCTGCCACTCAAATTACGCTAGGCCTTCTATTTACTTATTTCTCCAACTCAATACGGCAAAAGTAATTTATTATATTTTTATAGACTCAGTTATATCTAGGGACGATAATCGATCAGGTTGAATTTTTTATCCATCCAATCTAAAAGTTGAAGTCTTTCACCTACATCCGATTCAACTCGGTTTAAAAAGGCCCCAATTTAATTAAAACTTGAATTCAAAACTTGTGTACAACTAATCTGACCTAAATATATATATAATTTATTTTTACGAGATAAATAAAGATCTATTTTAAAAAATAAAATGGAAAAATATATTATTACAATTATCTCTAAATATATAAAAAATAGTTATAATATTATATTTGGTCAGACCAAATTTTACCCTAAACTCAAATTTGATTGACCCAGATTTTCAAAATTAAAATCGAACCGTCTGGGTCAAAACCTTTTAGGTCTAGATAAAATAAACAACCCTATTTATACTCTCATCAATATTATTATTAAAATTATTTCTTTAAAATATATTAAAAATATATTATATAATTTTAAATGATATTTAATTTATTAAATAAATTTATCGTATTTACAAAAGTGAAGAAAATGAATAAATATATTTAGAGAAAATAACCTCAGTGACCGAAAATACCTTATAATATACGATTTTAACCAACTTTTTTTGGATTTACGAAAATGACCAACAAATTCGCAACGCGAACTCCAATTTCGCAACCCAGTTTCCAAATTCGCAATGCGAATATGTGAATCGCAACAAAGAAGTAAAATTCGCAACGCGTTTGCCAAATTCGCAAAAATGAATTTCAAATTCGCAACTGAATTTCAAATTCGCAACTCGATTTTCGAATTCGCAACACGAATTTAATTTCGCAACAGGTTTTAGTTTCGCAACACAAATCTTTTGGGTATATAACTACGCAGCAGCAACAACTCATAACCTAAATCCCTAAATCACAACTCATTCCATCTCCATCTATCACTCTCTCCAGCGACATCCGTTCCTATATCCAACGACATCCTTCCCCATCTCTAATTATTTTTTTACATAATTTTATTTATATATAATTTTTCAATGATTTCTCTCCCAAATTATCAACTATCAACTTAATAAATGTATATTTTTCTCTAAGTTAGTGATGATATGTAGTTTATAGCTCGTTTGTTTAGTAAATTAATTTACAATTTGTAGAATGAAATCATCTAATGTTGATCATGTTTGGATAGATTTGTGTTTTGGAGAGTCATGGGAGAATGTTCATGGTATTTTACAATATGAGCCTTTACCCATGAATCTTCAACTAAAATTGTCATTAAAAAAGTTAACTTATGAAACTCTAATGTTACGTGTTGCAAAGAAATTGAATTTAGAATCTCTAAGTGAATTTAGGCTATCTTATCAGAGAAAATGTAAAGTTTATTTGTTAACCGACAATGAAGATGTTGAACGATTCATTGCTTACATTAGTGTTTCGCAAGAAGATGATGTTACATTGTATATTGTTGAACCTAGAAGTAGTGAAGTTGGGTCAGTAGCGGGTAGTAATCAACTAAGTTCTTTAACCCCAGTTTATGGTGCTCACAATGTACAACGTTGTTATCAACCTCAAAATTTAATGGTTCCGCCACAATTTCATCACCAAGAAAATTTTGTTTCACCACATTTCCAATACCAAACACAATCTCAAAACCCACAACCTTTTCCTAATCCAAATCCCAATTAACTTTCAGCACAAAATTCCGGTTTTCGTATTGACCAGTTAGACGATTATGAGCCAACAGAAAAAATTGTGAGTACTAGTCAGTATTCGAAATTTGATCTTGGTCAATACCCGGACTTTGATATTGGTCAATACTCGGATTTTGATGATGTTTTAGAAGAAGAAACAGACCCTGCGTGTAATGATTTTGATATTGGTCAATACCCGAATTTTTATGATGAAACAACCGCTGCCAAGGAAGATGTTGTTGATGATAATGAGGAGGAAGTTACGACTGTGAATGAACATGTTGAACATCCATTCTATAATTCATATAACCCTGAAGAAGAAGAAGAATAAGAAGAAGTCTCCGAAGAAAAGAAAAAGAAGAAAATTCCACGGGAGTATAACTGGAATATGCCAAAATTACTTCAGATACCGGAAGAGTTGGTAAAGATAGCAATTGATTATTACACAAAAGTTATTCGCATCAAGAAAGATGATTGTTTTGATACAAAGGAAGACTTGAAGATAGTTTTGTATACGAAATGTGTGGAAGATGACTATCAACTAAAAGTTAACAAATCAAACAAAGATCGTTTCGAAACAAAGTGAATTGCTACACTAAAGAAGTATATCGACAGACTTATGCGAGATTGTCTACCCTATTCCACATCCTTCTGAGTGGGACATACCATATGACTTACAAACAGTTTTGCCACCAATCATGGACAGCAGGCTACCTGGCCAACCAAAAAATCACGATCGTATACCGTCTAAGGGTGAAGAGAAGAGGATATCGACATGTAGTCGGTGCAAGGAAAGTGGTCATACAAGGTTGACCTGTGGATCACCAGTGCCATCACAATCATATTCTCCTCTACCAAAATATGGATCCTCATCAAAATCCAAAGCTCATATGGTGCCAAGCAATAGGAAATCAAAATTGCAATCAAAATCAAAATCCCAATCACAATCGGCTTCACCTTTTGAGACTTATTAACTTAGGTGATTTTTAAATGCAAACGTTGTATTAGTGTATATTATGTGTGAATGCATACATTTTCAGTTAGACATTCATTAGTAACTTGAGTTTAAACATTGATATGATCTTTTTAGTTGTTATCACTTATCAGATTGTTGTCTGTTATCTTTTTGAAGGTGTTTTCCTTGAATTCGCAACGCGAAAGTCAAATTCACGTTGCGATTGATGCGAAGTCAAATTCGCAATGCGAAAGTTAAATTCGCAATACGATAGTCAAATTCGCAACGCAAAAGTCAAATTCGCAACTCGATTATCGCGTTTCAAGAACATGCATACAAGAGGACCAAAATCCCCTCTGGCTCCCTTCGTTTATTGTGGCGCAGTCTCATCTCTGATCATTGTAACTTTGAACTTTTTTGGCTTCTTGTTTCCAGAATTAGTCCAATAATCAATTGCATTCAAGTATTTCGCCAAATGAGCGCTCCATCCCTTACAAATAATATCTCTCAAATCAGACAATGGTATGTAATTTAACATGCTGTCATATACTATTGTCTTCAGGGATGGGAGCTGAATCTCGAGGAGAAGCCAATGACGACGATCCAAAACAGGGATAAACACCTGTAATATGCCATAATAAATCATTGCGCACATCAAATAAAAGACGTTCCAAAACAGGGATAAACATCTTTAAAATATTCAAAAAATAAATACTAACCTTATCGACCTCCCACAACGCAGGATAAAGTTTAGCTTTTCCATTAACCAACATATATGAAGCATCTCTCGAATCCTTCAAGTGAGCTACGTGAAAAGACATCGGCATAATAGTTCATCGAGTATTTTTTATTTTCTTCAATTTCCTTATTATTAGAAGACGTGACACCCATGCATCAATATGTTGTTTTATAAAACAAATACATATATTAGTGAATTTATTAATAAATTTTTAAAAAAAATTAATTAAAATGCAATATAAGAAGAATATAAAACTTACCACCCCTTCAAGATAGCCATTATCTTCAACCCCTAATAAAATACCTCACCAAGACTGATCAAGAAACAAATGAATAACATCGTCGAGTTTGCATATGTCAGAATAACACCCCTTGCTCCGCTCATGTAGATAAAAATCAACTGCGATCTTAGCCCAAAGGATATTATCCGTAATTGTGTCCGGTAGTGTTCCTCTCTCCTGCTGAGGAATGGTACTGGCCGGTAACACATACGAAAGCCAACTCGCATCCATCATATTGGGCACGGGAGGGGGTTTATCAATATGTCGACATATGACGCCATGAATCGAGATCTTGAACGGTGGGATAGACCTCTTGAACGATGACATGGTCCTCTTGAACGGTGGGAGGGGCCTCTTGAACGATGGTAGGGGCCTCTTGAACGATAGGAGGCGCCTCTTGAACGATGACAGGTGCATCGGGCTTCTTCTTACAGAGTCTTGGCACTAGTGGGGTGAAAGGAGACGTAATGGCACGTACACGACGTCTGATGCGTGAACCCCGTCGTGCAAGAAAAACCCGACATAAAACATCTACTTTATCGGGACGCTGAAAATAAATTAATACATAAATCAGTAAATAAATAAATAAATAATGTCAAAAAAGGTTATTTGCATTTTTAGTATAATATTAAACAAATTTACCTCATTGCGTAGAGTATGAACCTCATTTTGCAACGATGAAACAATCTCACGTAGAGCGGCTACCTCATCACGTAAAGTAGATACCTCACCACGTAGCGCACCATTGTCATCGCGAAAAACATCCACCTCACCACGTAAAGGTCGTACCTCATCATGTAGCGCACCATTGTCTTCACGTAAAGTACCGATCTCATGACACAAAGTACCGACCTCATCACGTAACTCCCCTAACTCATCCCGTGGAGGTGGAGAACAGGGAGATAAATGTCGTGGCCTCTTTGCCGGTCGCCTATCATGAGGTGATGGTGGAGAAGAAGCTTGATGATGTGATGGAATAAGTGATGGTGGAGGTGGAGAAGATGCTCGATCAGGTGATGGCTCCGGGTGTCTCTGTAAAATCGGCCCGATCAGGTGATGGATCTCGAAGTAAGGGGTGCTCATCATCCGTCCCATCAAAAAACCGCTTACTAGCTTGCCACCAATCAGTGGCAAGCTCAGCCTCTGTGCGTGTCAGCCTCTGTAATGGATAGTTGGCCTCCTAACAATATAAAAGATCAAACAAAGTTAAACGTGT